TGATAGATCAAATTTGGGGTAATTTTAATTTAGAAATTGAAAATACAAAACTGAGGCTCAAAGAGAAGATATCTGCCTAAAGCTTTTATATTTTAAGTAGTGGATTCAACGGCAGGCTGATACCATAGGGTATTGGTCAAAGTGTCTGTCAGTCATAGTGTTGCCTAACAATTTTCTACCAATTCCTGCTCCTTCCTTGGGGGGTAGGGTGAGGCTAGGGCTGCACATTTACAATGTTCTCCCGGTTTCTCATGAGCTAGCCTCTCAGGTGACCCATTGGAAGTGTACTAATAGTCTTCCTGATTCTGAAAAGAACCACACACCCATAGGGAAGGTTAATCTTTTACTACCAAAGTATTATTATGCTTTGTTTTCTGCTTTTTCAAGTTGGAAGAAACACAGAAATCCTATAGCTTAATGTTCTTATTGTAATGGAAATCTGGTATTAGATTAATAATTTATGCACAAATTGAAGGCAATGTTTGAATATAAATGTGTGTGTGTGTGTGTGTGTGTGTGTGTGTGTTCAGACCTTTGTTGTATCTCTGAAGAGACCACATTGTCGATTTTAGTCCAATCCCAGTTTCCACTGATAATCTGGATGATAGTAGGAAAATGCATATGCACAGTATTTCATAAAATAAATGGTGGGGATGGTTTTCGGAGAAGACCTCTTCCCTCCGAAATGGAGCTTTTGCCAGACCTTGCAACCAAGTTAAAAAGAAGCTTTGGAACCATTTTAAACTATGTACTCAGTTTCCCCCCTGTATATTCAACTTGTTTAACTGGCCTTTCAGAAAACAATGTAACCAGCCTTGTTTGGACACGCCACGTTTTACAGCCTAGCAGCTTTTACAACCTAAGCTAAACATTTAGCTTAACTATGTATTTATTCTGACATGCCTGGACTCAGAATAGAGGTAGGTGTGTGTGTGTATGTGTGTGTGTGTGTGTGTGTGTGTGTGTGTTGTGGTAATCATTCACTGAAACCAGCCATTAGGTTGAAAACAATGTGAAATGAAACAAAATGCACCATAAATTTTGGAAACATCACGTGGCTCTAGGTTAATAACATTTGTTTGAAGTTTTGAGTGCTATTCTGGGTCAGTAGAAGTCAGTCCCTTGCAAAATTCTGTTAAAATTTTCCTGCAAGAAATTCCTCATTCTTTCTTCATACTGATTTCTGGGTTATTCCATAAATATAGAACAAAATTCTTTGTTAGTATCAGACAGAAAGGCAGGCATACATCACACACACACATCCATCTATAACACCCTCCCAATACCACGCACAGATAGACCATACAAGAGACAGGCAAGAAAGACACAACACACATCACAGAAACAGAGACAGGTAGGTGATACCAAGAAAGAATCCGAGAATTCAAAATTGTATTCTAAACTATTCCAAGACAAAGAGTCCTTTTGTTCTTTAATGTGGCATCAATGCAGTGTTACATTTTGACTGTTTGGAATCCCTTCATAGGCAATGCTTTGAGCCAGGTTCTCTCACTGAACCTGGAGCTGGGCTGGCAGCTAGCAAGACCCAGTGATCCCTGCTCTCTGCCCCTAATAGTGTTGGGATTATAGGTATAAACAGTCACGCTTGACATTTTACATGGAAGCTGAGGATTCATGTTTGTGTAACAAGCACCTTTCTCTGCTGAACTGTCTCTCATCCCCTTATTAACTTCAAAATTAGCATATAAAGTAATGGGTTTCATTATGGCATTTTCATGAATATGTCTGTATACTTTTAATCAAAAGCTTGAATCTAAGCACTCAATTCAAGACAAACGGAACAGCTTTTGTATAAAAAGATGAAACTGGTACCAACTCAATGTGTTTTTAAGCACTTATTTTTAAACTCCATTTTCCTCATGACTAATGACAAAAACTATGATTACCAAATGCTGTCTCTTTCTGTGTAACCTTCAGCAGAAATGGAATCTGTGCCTTACAAAGAGAATGATGCCAGAGAGTGAAATAACCAGTGTGATAAAGAGCAAGAAGACAGTGAAGGGGGAAAAGTCAAGGAGGAAAAACATGAAAAATCTGGGTACCAAAAAGGGACTAGAGAGAATGGGTACAATTATGGCTTTTTATCAGGATTTAAAAATATTTAGTTTTTAAAATCTTCTTCTTAGAAACTTTAAAAAAATTTATTTATTTTATTGAAGGAGTGTGTTGCCTGCAGGTATGTTCACCACATGCACGCATGAGTGTACTGCCTGCAATCCAAAGAGGCCTTAGGAGGGCGTCAGATCGGTGGAGTATTCCTTTATACTGGTTAAATAACTAAGCTGACTGGCCAATAGCTGAACAGGATAAGGTTAGGGGGAGAGCCATACTGAGAATGTTGGGAGGGAGATGGGCAGAATCAGGGGAGTCTGGAGCACACACAGAGAGAAGCAAGGTGGTCATGCTGAAACTTGGCTTAGTTTAAATGTAAGAGTTAGCCACTAACAAGCCTGAGCTATTGGCCAACATTCATAATTAATATTAAGCCTCTGTGTGGTTACCTGGGAGCGGCTTGTGGGACAGAAACTTCTGCCTACACAGATGCTCTGAAGCTGGAATACAGGGGGTTGTAAGCCATCACGTGAGTGCTAAAACTAAACCTATTGTGACATTTAGTTTTCCCATAGGAAATTGTTGCTTAAAAGTAGGATGGAAACTAGAGATCTGGATCAGCAAGTAAGAGCATGTACTATTCTCACAGAGAGGGCCTGAGTGAGCACCAACAGTGGCTCACAGCTGTTTGTAACTCAAGCTCCAGAGATTCTGATGCCTTGGACTTCTCTTAGAGCACCCATACACATGTGCATTACACATACATACATACATACATACATACCCACAAAATAAATAATAAAAATTGCACAGGGAAAAGTACCTTAGAAACAACAATTTTAAAAAAAACCTTAACACGACTACCTTTTATTGACGTGTTTTTTTTTTTACACCAGATTTTACATGGGGGCTGAGGACCAAGCTGAGGTCCCGGCCCTGTGATGGAGCTACCACCCTAGCTCCCATAGTCATTTTTGACATCTAACATACTTGACCATAATAATCACCTAAAAATAAAGGAGAAGGACACGGTGCCATACACATGTCATCCTAGAACTTAAGAGGTAGTTAGAGGCAGGAGGATCAGGAGTTCAAGGTCACTCTTGGCTACACAGCTAGATCAAGGCATTCCTGGGCTACGTGAAAACTATGTCTCAAAAATATTAATACTAACACCACCACTACTAGTCATAATAATAAAGGAGTAAGTTGGATTCAGTACCTGACATTGGATTCTCTCCATGTGAAACTTACTTTATTTTCACACTAACCAGATCTAATAAGGTAACCCGTGTCTGCATCAAAACAGGGATTCTCAAATACTTAATACGATTTTTGTTTGTTTCTCTGTGTTAACAGCCCTGGCTATCCTGGAACTCGTTTTGTAGACCAGGCTGGTCTCGAACTCACAGAGATCAATCGGCCTCTACCTCCTGAGTGCTGGGATTAAAGGCGTAGGCCACCACCACTTGACTTACTATGATTTTTTTTTTTGTCATGAAGTCAACATAGGAAAAACTACATCTATTTTTGGCTAAATGGTAGAGAAGGGTTACAGATGAGGGGACAGGTGGTAAAAGGCCTGGTAATTTAGAGTAGGAAATACTTTTAATATTCTTGAACTCAGTCTTCTACCTTTGTCCATGCTCTTTATTTGAACGTAGGTTAATGAATTATTAGAGAAATGCTTACTTGGAATAATAGCGTTTGCTCATACTTTGATGACACGATTTGCCTGGTGAGCTTTTATGTCATCATCACATGGTCTACTTGTACACGGTGGCTGTAAAACACATTGAGACGTTTTCCTAAATTGGGTCAACACTCCTTTTCCAATTTCAGTTGTACCACAGGTAATACTAGATAGCAGCGATAAACTCTTAAAATCTTCCTTTTGCTCAACAGCAAACTCTTTATTCAAGAGATTCGAGCAAGTTTCTTAGTAAAGGCAATCAACGTGGGCTGGAGAGATGGCTTGGCAGTTAAGAGCATGGACTGCCTTTCCAGCATTCACATAAGGCAGCTCACAACCACCTGTAACTTCAGCCCCAGTTAGGATTCTCTAGAGTAACAAAATTTATACTATAACCCCCCACCCACTGCAGACCCCCCGCTGTGTGTGTGTGTGTGTGTGTGTGTGTGTGTGTGTGTGTGTGTGTGTGAAGCTGTGATCACGGAAGTCTAGGCATGTTTTCTAAACAATTTACCTCTTTCATTAGGCAAGTAGGTTAAATAGTCCTTGTTGCTCTAACTGTGGAACAGCAGCACTGGGGTGACCTGAGAACTTCGTCGTAGAAAGGCAGAAGATCCGATCCCACTTCTGCATCAGAATCTGCATTTCCACACGGCCCCGCGTGAGAACCATGGCTTCCCTAAAGTTCTAAGGGCACTTTGGGAAAGTAAGGGAGACGGCTGAGTCCAGAGTGCCCTGTCCCTAGACTTGCAAGGACAGGTGGCCTGGGAAACAAGAAAGAGGCGTGGCCCCAGGGTCAGCGCTGCAGAGACCAGCCAGCCGCTTCCGTCACCCATCGGAATGGTGCATTTGGCTCCCTGTCCTCGTTTTTCTCGGAGAATCCCCTTGTGTGGCCCCGGAAACTCGGCCTGGGAAGCCTGTCTCACCTGCGAAATCTTCCAATCCAAGAGTCAAACGTCCTGCGGTCCGCGGACGTCCAGGCTCCTCCCCCGGGCCTGGAGCCCCGCCCCGCCCCGCCCCGCCGGGGGCGGAGGAAAGTCACGCCCCTCCCCTTCCGAACCACCCGGAAGTGACGTCACGCGGGCCCGGGCAGGTCTTCGGGTGCTCTTCCCCCTCCCGAGCTCGTCTTCCCCGGTCCCTTCCCTCCCTTCCCCGTTTCCTGCCGGGCCTCGGGGCTCTGCGGCCTCGGGAGTGGCGGAGGAGATGGAGTAAGCAAGCGTTCGGGGGCGGCCCGAGCAGCCACAGCCCGGAGGGAGGCCCTGGGCGAGCCGGCGGGGGACGGGCTGGGCCCAGCACCGCCCCTCCAGGTAGCCGGCCGCGAGGTGAGTGACCGGTCGCGGGCCGAGTGGGGTTCGGCCTTCCCGAGCCTCGCGGCTGGCGACTGTTGCCTGGAGACGGGCCGGGTCGAGCGGGCCGGCGCTGGGTGGCCCGGGAAGACGGACCCCGGGTAGCGACGAGCGGATCTCAGAGGCCGGGGACTCCCGGAGAGGCCTCGCGGCGCCGGGAGACTCGCTGCCCGGGCGTCCGCTGCTGGGACAGCTCCCCGAGCCGCAGCAGGGGCTCGGGTTTCCGCGGTGGAGATCTCGATCTCGGTATCCCTTTGGGGAACTGTACACTGCATCGGGGCTGGTGAGACAGCCCCCCCCCCTTGTTTCTGAGACTCGGTTCCGGGAACCTGGGTCACCACCAGCTGTGTCCCCCGCACTCCGGTCGCCCTTCCCTGACGGTAGTTGTCTTTCTGGACTGGACGGTTATTGTGTGTGAGGTGGGTGGGGCTGATAAGGTCGGTGAGAATAAAATCCCCATCGGGGGCTCCAGTGCGCCTGTTTAGGCTGCACAGAAGGATACAGGTTTAGACTGGGAAAGCGAGCAGAAACTTGGGATTCAGCTGGACACATTGCTTGTGACCAGTAATTAAGGACACCACTGTTATCCAATCTACCTCTCTAACAGGACTGATGAGACTCCAGTGCAGCGACTTAAAACTGATTTGATTTGTTAAGTTCCAGCTGGAGTATTTGCACGTCAAATCCAGGGGTCGTGTGGTGACACCTTTAAAAAGCTGTATTTAAGTTTTCTTAAAGCGTGGCAAAACTGATTTAGCAAAAATATTGCAAGGCAGTCAGCCATTATAAAACCTGACCCTGTCTGGTGATTGCTTCAAAGATTCCATTTCGACTTTGAAGACCTCCCCCCTACCTCCTTAGTAAAGGTTGGGGGAGGATGTAAAGGAAAGGAACCTGATTAAAGATATGGGGCTTATTCTGTTCAGATACATCTTACACACATGTGAAAATTATTCATTTTCTCTGTAAGAGTCGTAAACCACTGATGCAGCTGTGTTGTAATTCCAAATAGTAGGACGTGGCCATACAAGTCCATTCTGTAATCGGGAATTGTAGCATGTTGACGTAGTTGAAATTTATGACCTATTCTCTCAAGGAAAAATTTGGATTGTTTTACTTTGTTTCAGTCCTCTTTTATAGGAGTTGAAATTTGTCAGGCTTCTGTCATGCCTCATTCTCCATTTCTTATGAAATCCTATTTTGTCTTTTAAATATTTCTCGAGGCCTCATTTTCTTCATCTTCATCTTTACCTTCTAGTTCCAGCCACCGTCATTTCTCTACCGCTTTGTTAAGTCTCTGGCATCTAGAGTTGTGCACTTCTGGAGTGTCTGTGCTAGAATTAATGTTCTCTAAAAATACAGATCCAGTCACAGTTGCCTCTTGTCACTGGTTCTAGGATTAAGTGAAATTTTGGGCATGCTCTGCAAAGGTCTGCATAGTTGTCTCCAGTGCCTTTGGCATGCTTTCCTCCCCTTGCCACTGGGTCTCCTGTCTGTTCCTCCTTTGGGGTGCATGGCTATTGTCTGTAGTTCCTGGAAGCGTCCACGAGAACCTGGAAATGCTCTTCTTTCCCCATGAGCCCAGTTAACGCCTACTTATCATACAGGTCACTCCAGGGAGACTGTTCATTATAAATTCTCCTCAAGTGTTCTCAGGACTTCATTTCAGGGTTCCCGTAGTTATGTCTCCCATCTCCTGAGACTGCATGAATGTTTGCTAAATGAGCGAATTACTGAATGCTTACTAAGTGCACCAGAAATGTCCTAAGTATCCTAGATGTATCATCATCTTTAATTCATACAGTGACTGGGAAGTGTGGGTGACTTTCCCTTTTCACAGATTAGAAATTATGTTAAGTACACCAGTGTGTTAGTTGGGGTTCTCTAAAATCTATAGAATCAAAATATATTAGAGAGGACTGATTATTAGGTTGGCTTCCACAATAGGAGTGGAGCAGTCCAACATTGGCCATCTGCTTGCCGGAGTGGCTAACCTGGTGTCTGTTCAGCCCCCAAGGCTGCATGTCTCTGTAGGCCCAGTCTGGCGTAGAAGGTTCCGCTGTCAGCAGGTGGCCACAGCGGTGGTGTCAGGGTAGATGCAGTCCCTGCGAGGGATGAGTGCAGGCAGGTGGGATCAGCACTGCTCTACTCCCAGGTCTCCGTGCATCACGTTAACTCTTCCAAGACATCCCCCCGCATACCCACCAGAGGTATGCCCCTTAGTTGGTCCCAGGTCCAGTCACATTGAGAAGCAATGGTGATCCTTATAGAGTGTTAGAATTGGTATTGGACTGCAGTGTCCTTGCTATTGGATGTAGGTACATAAAGCACTCAGTTATCATACGGAGCTGTGTGTCAGTCACCTAGAGAGTTTGATCAAGTCCTAGATGGTCTAACTGGAGCTTACACATTGCTGCTTACAGATTCTGTTCTTAGAGCCTGCACAGTCCTTAGGTGTGGATTACTCAGGGTGTTTAGATGTTTGCCAGGTTGAAACCTTTGTCTTGTGGAATTAAGGTTTCACAGTTCATTTTCACACACTGCTACACTACGCTTAGGCTTCCCTTTCTCTCCTTGCATTTTCCTCCCGGTCTCCTTTACATTTATCTCTCTCCTTCCCCTTCCTTCCCTCCTCTTCTTTCCTTTCCTCCCTTGTGTCCCGTCTTTTAAGTTTATGCATAATTGTGTAAAAATTGAATTTATTTGATGTGTGAGCTTGTGTGGTTACTTGACTGTGGTGTTCATGTTGAGGTCAGAGGACAAATCACCATTAGGTTCTTTTCTCCCACCATGTGGGTCCTAGAGATAGGCCCGGGGTCATCAAGTTTGGCAGAAAGTACCATCTTAGCAGCCGTAGGTTTCTAGGTAAGGACTCATGTAGACCAGGCTGGCCCCAGACTTACCAATTACTTAGCTGAGACAAGCCCGGAACTCCCAGTCTTCTGCCACTGGGCATGGGTTTATCTCTTCCTCCTTTCCCCTTTCCTTCCCTTCTGCCATCTGCCCCTCCTCACCTCTTCCTTTCTTTTATCTCCTGTTACTGTGTAAGTATAATATTTTAATTGTCAAATGTATTTTAAGTACCATTTTTATTGTAACACATTGAACAAAAAATGTGAGCTAATGCTACTTTTTAATATTCTCGTGCAATAAGGGACTCTAGTTATTTGAAATGTAAGAGTTATTCTAGCACAGATGTAATTTTACATATTACATTTTTTGGGAGGTTGTATCTAGTGTTCATGATCAATTAATTACCAGAGTAACAAGCTATCCACTTTTGCAGGTGTCTATGCAATCTAGTGTTGCAGCAGATTGACCTGTTGGTTCCATTGAAAGTCAGATTAATGCTAGCCAGATGCTAGAGTGAAACAGTCGTGAAGGACTGAAATTACTTTCATTCATATTCATTGAGCTTTAAGCAGGGAAAGATGGTTGAGTCTCAGGTGACTTCTTAGTGGATGAAAAGAAATGACTTGTATATAAACAAATGTTCCTGTCACTTATAATTTTGTCTTTTGGGAAAAAAATCGGCTTATTTCTCTCTTCATTAACCAGATAAAAATTGACAGGCTATCATTTTTAGAAATGATACAGCCTACCTGGGTTTTTTACATGTCAAGTTTCTAACAGGCTAGCACTGTACACTTTCAATCCCAGCATTCTGGAAGCAGAGACAGGCAGATCTCTGAGTTTGAGGCCAGCCAGGACTAAATGGTGAGACCCAGTTTTAAGCAAACAAAGCAAAATCCAACCAAATCTCATTTAAGTTTAGGGTGTATCCTACTGTTTTGTGTTTGTTTCAGGCTGTAGCTCATATACTCACTGAAAACCATCCTGTCCTTGGCCACCTGCTGCACTTGCAATGTGCTTTTCCCTGAGGTTTTTGGATGACTCTTCACAGGACCACAGTCTTCTGGTGGTTAAAGTGCAGACATCTATATCAAAAACCGAAGTTTCCTATATTGTCATTTGAATGTATCAAAGATTGAGTTCTTCCTCTTCTGAAAACAGCTGTTAGGCACATGTCCTGGCATGGTAAATGGCTTCTTCTACACTGAGATGAAGGTGATGAGTGGGGGTCCTAGCTTTGTCTCATCCCTTTGTGAAGTCACTAAGTTCCTGTCGCTCTAAGGAGAACTTGTTTATCTTTTCTTTGTTCTCCTTCCTCACGGCTGTTTCCTTAATTCAAGATTTGAACCGTGAAATGTAACAGCATTGCATAATGTAGTTATTTCATAATTAAAAAACACACTTCTATGTAGCTAGCAATCTTTGTCTCTATTTCCATGTGTACTTTGGTTTTCTTGGTTTCTTTGCTTTCTAAACTCTTTATCATCTCATAGTACATGTTGACGTTCTCTCCAGTCTTCCATGCTCCCAGCCTCCACCCGAGTGTCTCTTCCACTCTGTTGGATGAGTTGATTAGTCATCTACTCAATGCCAGCTTTCTGTGACTTCTTACAGCCTGGTTCGTTTATACCCATTGCTCTGGGTATCTGGATTTTTTGGTGTCTTTTGTCATATTTTCTTCCTGCTTTTGTCTGAATGATTTTGTTTTTACTCCTGCATCCTTCCCATTCTCTAGTCCTTGCCACACCTTAAAAACAAGCATCTTTAACATTTTTCTGTGGGGAAGCATTCTTCCATCCTATCGTTTTGCTCTTGGAGTACTGCATATCAGGTATGTAACATTTTATCACTTGCCTGAAGAATAAATCCTTCATAGTTTGTTTTCCTGTATTCACCTTTCCTCAGTTCCTTATAATGAAGTCAGGCACAAAGGGACTTTTCAGTCATAATAATTGATTAGTTTCCATGTCTCCTACCTGGGTAATTAGCATTGATTCTGTTTGGATGTTCAATGGGTACTTTAGATTTGAACATTAATTCTGAAACTGTATTTTGTTTTCATTGTGTTTTTTCCTTTTTAGCATTTTTAGTGTACATCATAGTCTTCCGTGCCATGGCCCACAGTAGTCCTTTCTTTAATTTCTGTTCCTTTTTTTGTTCCCACTTGAAAACATTTTTGACCTTATCTTTTTTATATTTTATTTTTAGATTTACTTTTATTATATGGATAGGATTATTGTACCTGCATGTATGTATATGCATCATGTATCTGGTGTTCACGGAGGAGAGAAGAAGGGATAGATCTCTGAAATTGTAGATGGATGTGAGCTACCACGTACGTGCTAGGAACCAAAGTTGGGTTCTCTGCAAGAGCAACAAGTGTTCTTAACGTCTAAGCCATCTCTCCAGCCCTTTTGAGTTCATCATAATGTTTCTGTAACATAGTACATTCAGTCTCTGATTCGTTGCTGGAATTTTGGCAGTTGGGTCTGCTGCAGGACTGATCACCTAAAGAACAGAAATACTTCCATTTACATCTGTCTGTGTCCTACTGTGTAATGATGGGCAGAATATGCCATGTGAAGCTAGTCTGGCAGAGCTGGAAGAGTAGACAGGTTGGTTTTAGATAAGATTTTGTATCCTTATACCTTATCAGGGTCAGCAGCAGATGTTCACAGACAGTGGCTGGGCTCAGCAAATAAGTATTTTCATAATGCCAATAGCAACATTTTCTAACTGCTTATGTATCCACTAGTAAAAAACTCTTGGCGTTTCTAGGATAATGGCATCTGAAGATTTTTAAGAGCTGAAGTAGTTGCAAAGATCTAATGTCTAGATTGCTTTATAGTGTGGTGTGCTGTATTTAATCCAAGCATGGAGTTAGGTAATATCACAGATGTGTAGGATGTACAGTTTTTGTTACTTTGTGGTACCAGAGAGTGAACTCAAGGCCTTGAACATAAGTATGATTGCATCATGAGGCAACAGTTTAGTGTGATGTTTTACTTTATTTGGTCTGTTATCACTGTGTGTGTGTGTGTGTGTGTGTGTGTGTGTGTGTGTGTGTGTATCTTACTAGGATAGACTAATCTAGGACCTTCCACGTGCTAGGTAAGTGTTTTGCCTTTGGCCTGTATCTGTAACCCTCTTTTTACTTTTTAATTTGATGGGGTCTCACTAAGTTTCCCAGGCTAGCCTTGAACTTGTGATCCCCTCTCAGCCTTGTGATTACAGGTCAGGCTTGAGAACTCTTGATGTCACCAACAAAATTGATGGGTTTTTTATTTTTAATTCTATTTTTGCTGCATTTATTTCAAAGCTGTCTTGTTGGGTATATAGACACTCACAATTGATGATAAATTGATTGCTTTGTTATTATAAAGTGTCCTGTTTCAGTCTGTTGTGCCTGTATTGGTATATACCTGCCGTTTTGTTAGACTTTCACATACCTTTGTATTTTTAAGCAGATTTTAGTTGAATTTTTTAAAGTATTGATATTGTACCTCTCCATTGCAATTTAAAATTTATTTTTCCTGGATGTCTTTATTTTATTTTGAAAGTTTTTCTCCTAACCTGTGTAATTTTTGGTAAGCTGTTACTTTTTTTTTAAAAAAATAAGATTTATTTTATGTGTGTGAGTGTTTTGCTTGAATATAATATTGTTTGTGCACCTGAAGTGTACCTGGTGACTGCAGAGTCAGAAGAGGGTGTTGGATTTCCTGGAACTGGAGTTAAGGATGGTTGTGAGCCACCAAGTGGGTGCTGGGACCTGAACCAGGTCCTGTGGGAAAGCAGCAGCTGTCTGAGCCATCTCTCTAGCCTAGTACCTACGCTGGCTCTTAGCAGAGCCCTTCCAGCTCTCCTGTGCAGCCCTAGTTCACCGTGGGAAGTCTGAAATGTGCGGGCTTATTCTCTCTGTAATTTATCCGTTTTCTGTGGACACTTTAAGGCTTAATTTCTGATTTTGAGTTACTCAGTGTGATGGTTTAGGCTTTTCGTGTGTGTGTGTGTGTGTGTGTGTGTGTGTGTGTGTGTGTGTGTGTTTACTTTCCTGTGGTTTACTGAATTTCTTGGAACTTTGTATAATTTGGAAAAGAACTGACTATTATTTTTTGAAATAGTTTTCCAACTCTGAATTTGGGCATCACAGGTCCTTGTTGCCTATTTGGTGCTGGTAGTTAAGAGGGCGGAGCCATTCTTTGTTCTTTCCTTCATTGTAGTCAGCTGATGGAGTAATATTGATATACAGTATAAAATATTTAGGGCTAGAAAGGAAACTGAATTTGAAGTAACTTTAAAAAGATTTAAGGACTATGCTGAGACTCTTCCATTGCTTAAGTAAACAGAATCTAACATGTGGGGTCTAGTGAACCTCCAATTGTCTTTGAATTCTGTTTTCTTCACTTTGTTTTTCTCTTTTGAGACAGGGTCTCTGTGTAGCTCCGGTTGCCCTGGAGCTCTCTATGGAGACTAGACTAGCTGGAACTAGATTCACCTGCCTCTGCCTGTCAAATTCTGGGAATAAAGGCATTCAACATCACGCCCACTCTGTCTGAATTCTTTCTCTGACTTTAGGTTAGAAACCTCTATTGTGAGATGCTTTTCTCTTTTGGCTCTTGGGGCCGGGGGCGGGGTGAGGTGGGGGTACAGCTCCCGAATGAATCACACACAGAGGCATATTCTCAGTTTTGGGCGTGAGGCCTTAGTTTGGCTTTGTGTTAGCCAGCTTTTCTTAAGTTAACCCGTTTATCTTTTTGCCTCCGGGCTTTTCCTTTTCTATTTCTGTTCACCTGACTTTCCCTCTGGCTGTGTGGCTGGGTCCTGATGCTCTCCTCTCCTGTTCTCTTGCTCTTCCTCCTCATTTTGCCTTCTGTTGATGCCTGTCCTTGCTCCTGCCTTCCTATTTGCTGTTCAGCTCTCTATCAGACCACCGGGTGTTTTAGACAGGCACAGCAACACAGCTTCACACAGTTAAGTGCAGCACAGACAAAAGCCACACACCTTAAAGTAATATTCTGCCACAAACCTTTACTCGGAATTGTTTAGGCCCAGTATTCTCTGGACAGTTTCCCCATAAGCTAGACACAGCTATGCTTGAGTTGGAAGAAAACTTCCTGTAGACAGAAGGTACCATTTTTAAATGAGGGGTGTTAAATGTAACAATTGTTAAACATTAACAAAAAGTTACTGATGATTATGTTTACTAAACAATTGCTAATAAAAGGTCATCAAAAACACCAACTTGTTTCACATCCTCATAAGTTTTAAGGACATTTTATGACCTCATGCTTATCTATTTGTGTGTGGTTTGCAAGAAAGAGGGAGGGAGGGGGTGTGAGGGTGAGAAGGTGAAGAGCCCGAGCCATGGCCTGCCTGTGGTGGTCACAGGACAGCCTGGGTGCTGGGTCTGATCTTCTGTTTCTTGGAGACAGGGTAGCTGTTGTTCACAGCGTGCCAAGTTGGCTGGCCCAGAGTTCCTGGGGTCCTCCTGTCTGTCTCTCCTGGTGGGGACGCTGGCTCTGTTGCATCTGTCCTTTAATGTGGGGTCTTGGGTTGTCGGGTTTGTGTGACACCTGCTTTACCCCTCGCCCATCTCCCCAGCTATGGCACATTTCAGTTTTCATTTTAACTTTCCCCTCTTCTATCAGTGCTCCACTGTTCTGGCTCCTCCTCGTTCTCTCTTCCTTCCCTCCTCTTCCCCTTCTGAGACACCTCTCACTCTGAGGGCCAGAGCTGCTTGCAGCACTTGATTTTGAACTCATGGACTAATGGGATCCTCCTGACTCAGTGTCATGAATAACTGGACTGTGGGTAGACATCACTGTACCAAACACTTTTTTTTTTTTTTTTTTAAGAAAATGTTCTCAGATATCTCAGGGTTCAAAATGGCATTAACTTTAGTAGTAGTGTATGTATGTATATTATAAATATGTAAATAAAAATAAAAATTAGTGTTTATTGCTTTATAAGACATTGGGCCCTTAAAACTTTTTATTTTGTTTTTACTGGGAAGAGTGTATTCTAGGCTAAAATTTCTACTTGTGGTTACATTTTTCTGAAGACAAAAAAAAAAAAAAAAAAAAAAAAAAAAAAAAAAAAAACCTCAACCTACACGTTTTTATGGCGTTGTATTGGTCTTTTGGGGGAGGGGTAGATTTTTAAAACTTACTATGAATGCGTGCCTAAGACAAGTAAAAACCATTCAGTTTTTCCATATCCTTTTGTGTTTCTAGGTAACTTGAACTACTGCAGCCATGGAGTCCATGCTTAATAAATTGAAGAGTACTGTTACGAAAGTAACAGCTGATGTCACTAGCGCTGTTATGGGAAATCCTGTCACTAGAGAATTTGATGTTGGTCGACACATTGCCAGTGGTGGCAATGGACTGGCATGGAAGATTTTTAATGGCACAAAGAAGTCAACTAAACAGGTTAGTTATTAATGTAATATGAAAAGTACACATGCCAAATTGCACAGAGTGACATCATTTTTCTGTTAAGAAATGCCAGAAGTTCTCATGTGGATTTCCCCCTGTGAAAGTTAGTTCCGACTGTCCCCATACTCCAGTAGTTGGGGCTACCTTTGAACTTGAGCGTCCTGCCTGTAGTCACCACATGTGGGGTTATGAGAATGAGTACCCGCGTTTTTGAGTAAATTCTTTGTGTCTAGGTGTGTGTGTGTGTGTGTGTGTGTGTGTGTGTGTGTATGTGAGAGAGAGAGAGAGAGAGAGAGAGAGAGAGAGAGAGCAAGCTGGAGGTCTACATTGGGATGTCTCCCTCATCACTCTGCAGGTTCTCTTTTGAGACAGGGTCTCCCATTGAACCTGGAGCTCCCTGGTTGTCTAGACTGGCTGGCAGTGATCTCCTGGCATCAATCCACTCCTCCCCCTGGCAGGCACACGTTGCTCTGCCTGTTTTTATGTGGGTGCTGGGGAGCTAAACTTGGATCCTCATGTTTGCACAGCAAGCACTTTATCCTGAGCCATCGTTCTAGTCCTTTAATGGTGTCTTAAATGGACTCGTTAGGTCTCATTTTGTTTTATGAAATCAAAGCAAATGCTTTTAAATACCTACTGTATCTCCTGGTTGCAGAGTCATCTTTTTTATGTTACTTTATTTTTTACATTCCAATCCCAGTTCCCCCTCCCTCTTCTCCTCCCATTCCCCCTATCCCCAGCCTCCTGTCTGCTCCCAAGGAAGTCTACTAAGTCTGTCCCATCATCTCGATGAGGCTGACCAAGGCACTTCCCTACCCCCCACACCCCTGGTCAAGATATCTCTCCATATAGAATGGGCTCCATCAGTTTGTGCATTAGAGTTAGATCTTGATCCACTACCAGTGGCCTCATGTATTGTCCCAGTCACACCATTGTCACCTATATTAAGGGAGCTTAGTTCAGTCGTATGCAGGTTCCCCATTTGTCAGACCTGAGTCAGTTATCTCTAATTAGCTCAGGTCAGCTGATTCTGTGGCTTTCTCCATCATGATCTTTCCTCCTTTGTTTACATTATCATTCCTCCCTCACTTCGATTGTACTCCAGGAGATTGACACAATGGTTAGTTGTGGGTTTCTGCATCTGCTTCCATCTGTTTCTGGAAGATAGTTCAAGCTTCTCTGGGGTTGTGTGTTGTACGCTGGGTATCTTTTGCTTTATGTCTGGTAGCCACTAATGAGTGAGTACATACTATATTTGTCTTTTCTGGTTTTGGGTTACCTCACTCAGAATTTTTTTTTCCCTTAGTTCTGTCCATTTGTCTTCAAATTTTAGGATGTCATTGTTTCTTACCACTGAGTAGTACTCCATTGTGTAAAATACCACATTTTCTTTATCCTGGGGAGCATCTAGGTTGTTTCCACTATCTGGCTATTACAAAGAATGCTGCTATGAACATAGTTGAGCAAATGTCCTTGTGGTGTGACTGTGCCTCCTTTGGGTATATGCCCAACAGTGGTATTGCAGGGTCTGAGGTGGGTTGATCCCTAATTTTCTGAGAATTTGCCATATCGATTTCCACGTGGCTGTAGGAGTTTGCACTCTCACCAGCAGTGGAGGGTGTTCCCTTTCCCACATCCTCTCCAGCACAAGCTGTGCAGATTCATTGTTTTACATATCACCTTGCAATTTACTTCTGCTGTGTAATAAAAAAAGTCATGTCAGCATATTAGATGGTGATATTCAGTGAAGTATATGTTTTAGTATAAAAATTCTCAATCTGTAAATTTGTTTTAATATTTGACAGTAGTTACTGGCGAAATAATGCTGTTAAAATTTTGCCAGCATTGTCTGCCATATTTAGTACTTTTGTTGTATAATTGCACCAGAGAATTGAACATGGGTTTCAAATGAGCTAGGTAAGGACTTTATCAGTTAGTTGTATCTCAGCCCAGTTGCTGTGTCGTTTGCTCTTTTAGTCTGTAGAATTATAGAAAATAGATTTCTCAAATTTTTATTTTGTTTATTAACTATTCATTTGGAGTAGTTTGAGTTATATTGAAAAAAAGAATGGCTTAAGTCACCAGGGGCTGTTCTTAGAAATGTGAAGGGTGCTTATTTAATTGATTATGATATTTGTGGAATGGGAGCTGTGCACATGATTGCGTAGATCCCCTGGAGCTGGAGTTATAGGTGGTTGTGAGCCGTCTTGCATGGGTGCTGGAACTGAATTTGGGTCCTCTGGAAGAGCAAGCAGTATGTGCTCTTAAACAGTACGCCATCTCTTCAGATCCTGTTAACATTTAAAAACTGTGGATAACTTTTTGTTTTTTACATATGTAACTGTGTACCTGTGGAGACAACATGATGGCTTTTTCTTTTTACCTTGTGGGTCCTGGGGTTGGAAGTCAGGTTGTCAGGCTTGTTGGCAACTGCCTTTACCCTCACCTCATTAGCCCAGTTTATTAGCAGTTACTATTGAAATTGTAAGGTTAGAAATATCCAGCCTTAGCTGGACATTGGTGATGCACACCTTTAATCCCAGCACTCTGAGAGGCAGAGGCAGGCAGATCTGAGTTCAAGGCCATCCTGGTCTACAGAATGAGTTCCTGGACAGCTAGAGCTACAAAGAGAAACCCTGTCTTGAAAAATAACAACAACAGATAACAAACAAAAACAAAATTCAGGTTTCAGTTTCTGTAGAAATATGATTTTCTTGTTTTTATTGCTATTTGGTTGGAAATCTATTGAGATTCAAAGTTGATCTTTCTCTTAAATGATAGTTGATGTAAATTATCAATTCTGAACCTTGTTTTCTCTTTCAACTCATTAACTCTACCTAAAAAGTGTGGACCAGCTGAGAAATCATTAGTGGAGTTGTAAATGGATGTCTTCTATAGCATTAATACAGACTGCTTTTGTAGTCATTTTCAGCCATACATTGCTGAATGACTAAGATTGTAAGAAATACTGATCTCTTCATTGTAGGAATATCATAGTGTGTCACAATGAACTATGGCAACTTTGATATTACTAGGCAGTATAGTTTTGGGGGCACTGCCATGTACTTTGAATACTAACACATTGTCACACAGTGACTATGAGTAATATCAAATTCCATGCCAAACTTACAAGGATGAATTCTTATTAAGAACCTGGAAATCACGTACGTAGTGTCTGCTGCCTACTCAGAGAATTCTAGGGGCTGGCATTCACATGTTAAATGTGGTTCATATCTTAAAATACCACGCTAAGTAAGGTGAGGGCTTATATTGCTGCTTAGAGAGCAAGAGAGCCAGGGCAGATGCTTGAGCCACAGCCTGTTGTCTGCTGTTGCCTGAATGTGTGGACTGGCCTCTCCCAGGAGACTTTGCTCTACTCCATATTTCCTTAAATGCATTGCTTTGGGGAGTAGCGGTACCTGGGTAAGCCATTGTGCTTGTTGGACATAGTTTTTTCCCTTTTTAAATTTTTTATAAAATATGTTTCAGCTCCTTCCAGATCCTTTCTACCCACCCAATGTGTATTCTGTCTTAAACAACAACAGTAACAAAATCCCCACAAAAAATCAGAACAAAACAAACAGAAAACCCAGAAACACAGTTTTGAATTATTTCTTTGGTGCCAGTAATCCTCAGCCCTCCTAGTGCTGGAGATACTGGTGTGTGCTGTCATATGGTGCCTGGCAGTTTTTCTTTACCTAAGAGCTGCTAGGAAAGCTCTTGGATGTTGTCTTAGTTGGGGTGTCATGGCAACTTTTAGAAAGAAAAACATACAGTTGGGATGGCTCACTTACAGTTCAGAAGTTTAGTTCATTATTGTCATGGCAGGAAGCAAGGGGTAGCATGCAGGCAGACTTGGTGCTACGAGTTGTTAGAGCTTGCTCCAAAGGCACAGGAAGTGAGTGGAGACTCTGGGCGTGGCTTGAGCATATATGAGATCTCAAGCCTGCCTCCGCAGTGGCACACTTCCTCCAACTTCCTCCAACAAGATCACATGCCTTCCAACAAGGCCACACCTCCTAATAGTGCCGTTCCTTTCGGGGGGCCTTTTTCTTTCCAACCATCGTAGATGTGCTTGACATATTACTGTGGAATCCTACACTGCTGTGTATGTTCTACACCAGCTTTTTCAGTGGTTGGATCCAGGCAGACTTTCACCGGCTATTAGTTCTCTATATTCCTGCCGGCCTTGTCACAGTTACTCTTTTTAGTTTCAGATATTTGGGTGGAGTATTTAATTGAAGTTTGAAAATTCAGTGAAATAATTCTTTCTCACCTCCTAAACTTTTAGGCACAGGGTTTATCTCATTGAGTCTCTATATAGTTTTGTAACTGAGTCTCTAGAGTTTCATGTTTAGGTTTAAAATGATTGTCTGAACATAGATATTCTTTCCAAACATGGTATGTATTTTAAAAAGAATGTTTGAGAGGTTTTCTGGAGCAATTATTTTTCTTATTTCATTGGCTTTTCTGATCTTTGAATTGTACTTAAACAAACAAACAAACAGATAATTAAGAATGAGAATTTTTTGGGCCAAACTGTAAATAAACAATGTTCACCATATACATTCATACATCCTTCAAAATTGGTATACTAAGCTGGGCATTGGTGACTTTAATCCCAGCACTTGGGAGGCAGAGGCAGGTGGATCTCTGTGAGTTCGAGGCCAGTCTGGTCTACAAAGCTAGTTCCAGAACAGGCTCCAAAACTGCAGAGAAACCCTGTCTCAAAAAACAAAACAAAAAGATAAAACAAAAACAAACAAACAAAAGATTGGTAATTTAGCTTTTTTTGTTAGTGTTATTATAACTTTCAAGATTCTTAATTTAAGTAATTAAAACATGATATAGTTTTTTTTTAATTTATATACCTAACTACTTAACATTTTAAAATTACATTCATTGTGCATACGTGGTGTGTGTGTATGAGTGTGTGTGTCAGAAGGGAGCTTGAGGGAATAGGTTTTCTCCTTTTACCATGTGGGACTTAGGTC